TGCCCTTAACTGAAGAAGTAAAAATTATCTTCTTTGGATTGATTTTTTTCTTCTTCCTTGAACAGATTTTTTCATTATTTTTTTTTTATATCTCACAGTTTGTAAGAAGATGATTTGACAATATTAATTATGAGTGACCCGTGTCAACCTAATTTTTTTTCTTTATATTGTCCAGTATTGACTAAAATCCTATATAACTCTCTATTTTGTATAAGTTCTATAAAAACATGTAGTTTAATTGATAAGAAAGGAAAAGTCAGCGAGGTAAATACTTATTGTACCACAGATGTCGACCTGGACTAGGAATTTTTAACACAGATGTAAATTCCTTACATTTTTACTTTAATTCAGCATCAATTTGTATACTAGTGAAGAAGGGTCAGATATTTTAGGTAGATGTAAAAAATGGAAGAGCCTTTAATGATACTGCCAAATATTCTACGAGACTATGACAGAGTAAGCTAATTTTTTATTTCCCTCTTCTGGAAATGGGCGATTATATACATTAGTTTTGTTTTTATACCTTTCTTTTAAAAAAGAGTATTTCAGATATCCTGTTATTGCCTTGAATAAGAAAAAAAATATTGTTAAAAATGTTTCATGTACTATACATATAAGAAGCAGTGCAGATATCGTAGATACATTAGAATTTATTGCATGAATTGGTGTCAATAGAATTCAAGGTTTGATTTGAACCACAAGTTTCATTATGAAAAAGTGATTTTAAATAGTCCTGCTAGATGAAGCCATCATAAAGTAACAAACTTTTCTCTAATGAGAGCAAATAATACATTCTGGAAATTCAGTGCACTTGAAGTCACTTTTTTTCCCCGAAAAACACAAAATAGGTAGCCATGAAATATAATGAATCTGTAGTTGTTGATTATCAAAATTAGGGCAAGGAAAGTCTGTTAGGCTATCAGTACACAGCTGTAGAGTTTTGAGCTTATCCATTTGTGAGGTTCCTCTTTGGGATTACCTATAATTATATATACTAGTACATAGATTATTTTTCCATTACTGATTGGTATATTTTCCTAATATGAAATTGCTCAAATTGATGTGTTTTGATGACATAATAGATAAATATTTTGGAATATACAGTAAAACCTGTTGAATGAGAATCCCTGTTATAATGAACCAGAAACCCTGTCTAAACAGACTTCTTGTGTCAATACAAACATCAGATATTCTTTGGTAATTTAACCTGTGTAAAGGGACCAAACACCTGTATTATTTGAAGTAGTCTGTAGGGTTTGGGTGAGATAGATTGTCATGAAATGATAGACTTTGAGTAATCACTTAATCGAAGACTTCATGCAGAAACTTATTAGTCCATATATAATGTTTGAAAATAAAATTGTTCCTTTATTCAAACAAAGATACATATATATTCATATTATTTATTAAATAAGATGCATTCTTACATTAATTCTGTCACATAATATTTAGTTACACATTACACACTAATTTATTCACTGAAACAATGTCTAGCTAGAGGAAAGGATATCCATCACTTTCAAGGTAAATATTTTTGTTTTTCCAAATTTAAATTACAATAGGATTAAGAGCTACCTGGCCATTTTGACCTGTGTGACACTCCTAAAACATTATCCTTAGAAATTTTGTTTAGTTACTAACATAACCAATATATAATCTGTACACTATTAATCTATATGACATGATAGACTTATATAAATGGACTGAACTAACCAAACCTTATGAATATGTATATCAAATAAAAACGAAATTTGACAAAGGTTGATTTGCGATTTGGTTACTGTTGATTAATTTGTTGATGGTGCAGCTCACAGCAGGGTTTTGTTGGATATGAAGAAATATACAACTGGGCAGTTTAGGCTAATAGTGTGTTGATTTTATGCTTAGGTCAGGATAAATACATTTTAAAACATTTGCAAAATAATTGAAAAAAATGTTGAAGATAGAAACTTGAAGTGGAAGCGTATTTAAGTACCCTTGAAAAGACTTTTTGTTGAACCCCTCTGTTGATGGAATAAGCATAGACATGCATGAAGGGGGAGTTGCTGTATGGTTTACCATACTATACTACAATATAAAAGGCCTGCCAGGTGTACTACATAAACATTTCAGTACTAATATGTCATGGCTTAAGTTCAATTAAGTTAACTGGCAAGGTTTGAAAATGGCAAAGTATAAAAATGAATATATGTGTTATTGAACATGAACAACAATATGTAAAAAAAATAATTAGATGCAAATGAATTCTCATGTTAGAAAAATAATAGGATGCCACTGAATTGTCATGTAAGAAAAATAATAGGATACCAATGAATTGTCATGTAAGAAAAACAATGGATACCAATGAATTGTCATGTAAGAAAAATAATAGGATACCAATGAATGGACATGTAAGAAAAATAATAGGATGCCACTGAATTGTCATGTAAGAAAAATAATAGTTATGCCACTGAATTGTCATGAAGGAAAAATAATAGGATACCAATGAATGGTCATGTTAGAAAAATAATAGGATGCCACTGAATTGTCATATAAGAAAAATAATAGGATACCAATGAATTGTCATGTAAGAAAAATAATAGGATACCAATGAATTGTCAAGTAAGAAAAATAATAGGATGCCACTGAATTGTCATATAAGAAAAATAATAGGATACCAATGAATTGTCATGTAAGAAAAATAATAGTTATGCCACTGAATTTTCATGTAAGAAAAATAATAGGATACCAATGAATTGTCATGTAAGAAAAATAATAGGATACCAATGAATGGACATGTAAGAAAAATAATAGGATGCCACTGAATTGTCATGTAAGAAAAATAATAGGATGCCACTGAATTGTCATGTAAGAAAAATAATAGTTATGCCACTGAATTTTCATGTAAGAAAAATAATAGGATACCAATGAATTGTCATGTAAGAAAAATAATAGGATACCAATGAATGGACATGTAAGAAAAATAATAGGATGCCACTGAATTGTCATGTAAGAAAAATAATAGGATGCCACTGAATTGTCATGTAAGAAAAATAATAGTTATGCCACTGAATTTTCATGTAAGAAAAATAATAGGATACCAATGAATTGTCATGTAAGAAAAATAATAGGATACCAATGAATGGACATGTAAGAAAAATAATAGGATGCCACTGAATTGTCATGTAAGAAAAATAATAGGATGCCACTGAATTGTCATGTAAGAAAAATAATAGTTATGCCACTGAATTTTCATGTTAGAAAAATAATAGGATACCAATGAATTGTCAAGTAAGAAAAACAATAGGATACCAATGAATTGTCATGAAGGAAAAATAATAGGATACCAATGAATGGTCATGTTAGAAAAATAATAGGATGCCACTGAATTGTCATATAAGAAAAATAATAGGATACCAATGAATTGTCATGTAAGAAAAACAATGGATACCAATGAATTGTCATGTAAGAAAAATAATAGGATACCAATGAATTGTCAAGTAAGAAAAATAATAGGATGCCACTGAATTGTCATATAAGAAAAATAATAGGATACCAATGAATTGTCATGTTAGAAAAACAATAGGATACCAATGAATTGTCATGTAAGAAAAAAAATAGGATACCAATGAATTGTCATGTAAGAAAAATAATAGGATACCAATGAATTGTCATATTAGAATGGAATATTTCTGTTAAAATTTCATTTTATTGTATGTTTTATTGTTATCCCAAATATTTCTTGATTGCAAGTACCTCTTGATTTAAAAAAAAATCAACCAGCGTCTTTTAATATCATGTGACATCTGTTATATGACTTGATGGATTTTAATATACTTACTAACTGCTTTTACATATTCTTAGGTGAACTTTATCCTATTCGATTATGATCCCTCTTGCAAAGAAACATTCCACATAGAACAAAAGATTCTCATGCAACACAAATTGCAGATGTGGATCTAGGATTTTGAAAAAGATGGGCCCTCATAAGGGGGGTGGGCATATATGGTTAATGCCCCCAACCCCTCTCTAATTCTGCCTCGGAATTGTTTTGTTTTGTTTTCTATCTACAAAAACCAGTTTTGTACCTTTACTCTTCTAGATTACAGTTACATTGTGAAGGAGATCATTCCATTTATATTTTTATAGCTAGCCTATTTGGTTTTTGTGAAGACATACCACATGATATTTGGATACCTTAAGTAACATCAGTTTAGAAATATAAGTTACTCAAAATGTATTTTTTTCCAGAAAAGCAAAGTTATTTTATATATTATTTTTATGAAAGATCTAAATAATGAAAAATCCCTATCCCTTTCCTGGTTCCCAACTCTTTCTCCCAATTAATGTTTGTTAGTACCTTATGGGGCATCCATTAATACTAAAGCCTGTTGTTCATTCAAATTCCCTCTGTATAAAAAGATATAAATGTAAAAAAAAAATTAAGAATACAGGTGGGCAGTCTTTCGTTAAACATTATTTGTGAAGAGATTACCTGATCAAATTGTTAATTTTTCCCTCCATTATATTTATTATTTTAGCAATAAATAATGTTTAGACATTGGAAGGAGCCCCTCAAAATATTTCCACAATTTACAACCAACATGGGCCCTTGGTGATCTGTAAAGATATTCCATAATCATTTTTGTTTATTGTTTTTTTTTTTTGTTTATATGTTGCTTTTTTTAACCAAAGATTCTAACAGTTGTCCATAGTTTAACTAGTAGAAAAACAATTCTGGTAACAAAATGACTAGACACAGAAGGTTGTAAATTACTCTATAATGATTAGGAGTATTGTTAATTATTTTAAAAAAAATAATTCTGAAGGATATTTATTTTCTTTTGATACTATTTTACTTCCTTGTCTAAATGCTCAGATAAAGTAAACACTTTGAAAAGAAAAATGTTCAATGTTCATTACAAAATAAGACATGCTAAAACAGCAATTACCTTTTCAATTATCTTCATTTTAAATACATAGGAAAATTGAATTTTGAAGAAATGTGTTTTTCTGTCTAGAATTTATCAGAACAATATATAGTGGAAATAATTAATACTAAAGTAGCATTATCTCACTAAAACCTTTACAGGTAAATGTATCTTTCATCATCTGTAGCATTAACTAACATGCTAACCTTATACTGGACATGCAACATATACTGTTTCCTGCCTCCCTATAGCTTCGTACCCTAAATTTTCATGCCTACCCATACACATTTTATGAACATTTTTTATTGAGGGCTGTTAAAGAAGAGACATTTTTGGTTAGGCACTAAGTCTTAGAACATTTTTCTATAAAGTCTATGTAAAGTTAAAAAAAATTAATATTTTAACTTCCTGCTTTTTACCATATATTTTTCAGTATGTAGGCAGAAAACAATTATTATTATTATTTATAAAATTTTTATTTTTTGGCCTATGGCTACAAATGTTTTTAACAGGTAAAAGAGATGACAAGGTACTTTTAGTTTCAACAAATTATTTATATTACATAAAGGTGAATATATGAAAACATAACTGATGTCTGAAAGAATCTGTCTACTCCATAGAAATACCCTTTTCGATAATTTTAGTACTCCCAACTTGAATTTAATATACTTATATAGTAAACAAGGATGAATACAGCAAAAAGCAGAGATTGTTGAAGGTCGTACAGTGACATATAGCTGTAAACTTCTATGTCATTTGGTCTCTGGTGGAGAGTTGTCTCATTGCATAGAATCATACCACATCTTCTTATTTTTATATGGACCACCATTAAGATATAACACTGCCATACATCAGAGCATTTTGTTCTATAAAGTATTAATCATACTAATTTGGAAAGGCATACTGAATTCAGAAATTATTGTGAGTTTTTTTTATAAATACTACTAATGTGACTGGACACAATAATTTCTGAATTTACAGTAATTTACAAGAAAAATAAATTTGGAAGAATCTTTGTCACTCGATCAGGATGAACTTTCCTTTATTTCAATTCCGTGTTAAGTATTTTTTTAATTTTCTTCAATTTTGCATTGATTCATGTGATTGAGACTTTTCAAACTTTGTGTTTAAGTATTATTATGCATAAATTCTAGGTTTAATGTAACAGAATATATATATTACAAAAATTTCATTGCCATAATTATGGTTATAATGTATTTAATTTAATGTGATCAAAAGGTTTGTCTAAGGATCTTGTCATACCTGAGGGGCTGACATACAAATGTGTTAGATTAAAGAGAGGGTCAGGTCAGTTTGAGGTGAACTTTTGTATTACTCTTTTGAGACTTTCCCCATAAGTATTTGTGTATATATAAGTATGCAAACAGTGTAGAAATCTCAGTTACGTTTTTATTAGTGTCTGGGATGACCTCTTAAAATAACAACACCTTACAATAGCCCAAATAGGTGCCGATGTCTTCTTCAATTATAGTCCTATTCATTCTCTGTGACATATAACAATATAGCTTGTCTTGTCAGATTTTAAATTAGAGACACAGTGCGATAAAAGTTTTTAAATGTGATCAATACCAGAGTGGTTCGTATTTCAGGTGATCTAGGGTTTATTCGGTGTTTTATCTAGACTTGGTATTATGAACCGTTGGCAAATATATTGTGTGTAGTGAAAACCATATTTCACATTGTTTGTGGATTATATATGTGAACTTGACACTTAAAATTTTTCACGAATAAAACCAGTCCTGGATTTCGCAGCTAAATTTGAGGTATGTGTGTTCATATTGAATATTCAGTCTTGTACATGCATGCACAAATATTCATTGGCAGTTGTACTGAATAATCACAGTTTGACTTCTTCTGTTTTTAATAGGGTTCACATATCATAGAAATGTGTGATTTGAAAATAATAATGAAGCTTAATTTTTCTCCTTTGTGTATATTTTTAAACATTAAATCAACATATCACTTAAAAAATATCTATGCACTGCACAATTTCACTCTGTCTCATTGATTAGAAAACAATTGTTTGGGGTTGGGTGAATATGCTGGCTTTGTAATTAGCCACAATGCTTATGTTACTGAACTATTTGGAACAGTGGACTGGAATTTGTAGTTGGACTGAAAATATTCAAGTTAGTACAGGATGAATCTTTACATTCTCATAACTGAAATATATGTTCAGTCTTTTTAGATTTCTTTAAATGGTGGTGCTCCAATCTAATTATAAGGGACTTTATTCTTCCTTGTATGGAAAAGTGATAATTTTCAGGACTGCAGTCTGAGTGAGGGCGGTCTTTGAGGGGGGTTATATAGGGGTCATGACGCTCTTTCTTAAATAGTCATATTTCAATCAGAATCTGGACTTAAATCATATTATTTGTTTTCGGTGGGGATTCATCAACTACAGGTGTGATATTGATGGTTTGTTGCTTACATTGTTACAATGTCCGGCAGCTTGTTCTATATTTCTTATGCCATTAAGACCAAAATAGAATACCAGTATATTAAAAACCATTTGATATGATTTCTGTCAACACAATACATTGTTTCTGGATTAACCTTCATCAGGTGATTTCTAGGCCATATGTTTGGAAAGCTTTAAAACAAATGATGGTGAAGACTTCAGCTGAAAGGGTCTTAACATTAAACAGCCCAAACCAAATGAAGTCAACAATACTTCAGTAGGGTTTCTATAGAGAGTATTCTGAAAATACACTGTTTATGGTCGATTTAGTAGGTAAACGTTCCATTTTCTAAAACATATTATGTAAGATTTTCATTTCAACTTCATTAGATCTGCAAAATAAAAATATTTTAGGATAGGACTTCAAAAATTGACTGCAGTATCATAAGTATTAAGATAAGAACCATAGCAATACTTTATTTGGCCTTTGCATATTTTGATTCACCTACATAGGGATTAAGTCCATTACATAAAATGTCCATAGTAATTTTGTCATAGTTGGCAGGCATGCATGATGGTCTTTAAATACATACTATTTCTTCTTACAACTTGAAAGGTTTCCTTCAAACATTTACTATTAAATAAAGTATATGTGTTTTTTATGAGGTTTGTAAAGCATGTGCTAAGCTTCAGTCAATAGTTTTTGAGGTTTTTTAACAAAGACTTGCCAAGCTGCTTTCAAAGAAATGATAAAAACCTTCTCAAAGTTTTCAGACATATTAATAGATACATAAAATACGATTTGTAATTAATGGCTAATTTATTGCCACTTCCCAACTAGAGTTGTGATTCGCCTTGTCATAAAAATGATTTCTTACCAATATAAATAAAAAAAATAACATATATTGTGAGTATAAATTATGTCTTACAGTAGTTCTCCATGATTTGAATTTTGAAAATAGAACACATGAGCCATTGTATACTATAGGAAATTTAAGCCAGCTTTTAGTTAATAAATGTGTTATATAACACCGAAGGGTACAGGAATATATAAATTTTAATGAAGTAGGTATTTAAGACAAATATGGTAAAATTTGAACTATGTACGTATCCTTGTATAAAGTTGTCAGTCGGTTCCTTTGTGTTCATTTTGACTTGTTTCTATGGCTAAAACATGAGAAGATCCACACTACAAGTTCAAAATTGTTCATCCTTTTTGAAATATTCACACTGTTTAGCTGATGATCTGTACACTTGTGACCTTTGTCTCAGCCTTTACATTTTGACCTATGCCTAAGCCTTGACTCTTCCAGTGTCCATTCCTACAATGACAAAGGTGTTGAAATATATTAAAAATATTTTGCTTTTCAAACTCAAGATTACTTGGTGTCATTGTATTGATCTGAAACTTGTATAGTATGGTACAATGTTGAATTCCAATAAATGACACTGGAATGACCATATATTTTAGGCCAAAAGGCAAGTAAAATGATAATATTTATTCAATCAGGATATGAATGTAAGATAATTCCCCTTTTCATGAAAATATGCAAATATGCTTATAAGAAGATGGAAATAATAAAATTTAGCATTTACATTTTCTGTCATCAACTTTGCAATGTTATATCATAAAAAGTTCCATAATTATATCATGAATCTGTCAACTGAATTTACTACTGTTTTCTTAGAGTGCAAGTGTTTTCTGCAGTTCAGAAATACAGTGGATCCAGGATTTTGAAAAAGGGGGGAGGGCTAACTAAACAATGTTTGGAGTGGAACAGGTAAAAAGTCTGCATTAACCATAAATGTAGCTCCATAAGGGAGGCCGGGCACCCTGTCACCCCTCTAATTCTGCCTCTGTTATTCCCTTTATAGGAAGAAATGTTATTCAAAACTGCCTGGTCATAAGGTCAGATTTGTCTGCAATAGCCAATCCTGTACTTAAAGGTAAATTGTATGGAAGATTAGGAAGACTTGTTGAAATGACTTTGTTGTATTCATTGGTGTTATCTGTTATAATATGGCATTGACCATCTTAAGGGAAAGGTTTTTATTAGTAACTTATTGGTTCAAGCAGAAATTCTGTTGTACTTGACTAAAATAACGCTGTAGCCAAACATTGGACTTAATAATTTTAGACCTAAACAAATATATTGATAGATTTGTTCTTGATAGCAAGCAAAACTTATGTTTCATAATTTCGAATAAGAAAGTGTCATATTTGTCACTGACTGTCAGTCAGTTGGTTTTTTAATGACAACAGAAGACTAGATCATTCTTTGACCTTTGTAGACCTTACCATCATCAAGTCCTGTACGACAGTTTATCAAAGGTATTTGAGCATATTGAAAGCCACTCCATCAAGAACAGAAAACTATTTATTCAAATTCTAATTCTTTAACTTTTCGGATCTTCTGGTTTATTTTTTGAAGACCAATGTGTGTATGATTCAATTTTCTCCTTGTTTATCTTGGTTGTGATAACCTGAAGCCAAATGCATGATAACATCACCACACATTAGAGCTAATTTTTATGGATCCACAGAAACCAACATTTAATAGTTTAAAACTAGGGATGTCAACGAGTACTCGAGTACTCGAGTATCGCTCGGTAGTACCGAGTATCGAATACCAAAATGATACTCGACTAATCGGTTTCCTGTTAGAATGTGGTTGCTTTTTTAAGCGTCAACAAAAAAATATGTTTATTGAGAGCGCCGGTCTCCAGGAAAATTAAATGTTTACTTAATTAAGATTAATTAAAAATCAAAATACGATTCGAATGTTTGCGTTTAACTGTCATTTAAAATTCCTCCAAACGAGAGGTAGGCTATGAAAAAGTGCACTTTTCCTAGGCTTACACTTTTAGCTAATTAATCTTAGTCATTCTCCCATCCTGTATCGTCAGAGCATATATTTTCATCAGCAGGACTGTTAGTTATCTAACAAAGTTATGAAATTGCCTCGTCCCAGAAAAAGTTGACAAGAATATATTTTTAAATAAGAACATATTCGTTGCACCCTCAGAAAATGATTAAAGGCATCAGTAAGTTATAATCATCACCCCTTTGTTGATCATTTAATGTGTTTTTACGGTTCCCAAATACTGTTGTTTGAGTAATCAATTTTCTGTAGATATTAATTAATTACTTGATTAGGTTATTGCCAGTTTACATAATTAGTACATGTAGTAAATGAGCTATCAATTATGGTATAAAATGCCTTGGACTATTATCTAGTCTAGGTAATAATGTTGAGGGTTTTACGTTCATAAGACAACGACCCACAATTTATAAAATGGTAAGTAAGTAAGTAAATTTTATTTAAAGTCGGCATATATATACATAATAACAGACAAAACATGAGCTCTGGTGAGCTCTTTAACCGACTATTGAAATAGTTTTGTGTTTCCATTTTTTAAATGTTTTACCGAGCGAGTACTCGAGTATCGCTCGGTAAATTCAACAAGTACGATTAGTAAATCTTCACCGAGTTGACATCCCTATTTAAAACTAATGAGCAGATTCTGTATCTGGTACTCTTGTTATCAACTTTTTAACTGTCACTTTTAAATATGAAAAGGATTGGACAAAGTATATAAGATTAATGTGCCTCCAGGTGAGAAATTATGGTGAAAATTTGCTCAAATTGTGTCATTTAATCTGGTCACACTTTAGTACTGTTATAATTCTCTCCTGGACAAGATATTGAATGTCATATTCAACAAAAACCTTTTAAGAAAATGGATTGACCTTTTGCAAAATTAATCTTTGACAGTTGCCTCCAAAACTGTTTTATTTTTTTTGATTGGTTAGGCTTTTTGCTGGTAATTTTTACAAATTCATCTGTTAGCTAAAAAATAGTTACTGGGCAGATTTGTTGCACTGCAACTAACAGCATGTATTTCATACACCCATAAGGGGCGGATTCAAGATTTTTGAAAAGGAGGCGTAATTCCTTTAAACATAATAGATACTGTCGAGCGGAGCAAGGAGACATTTTTTTTTTGGAAAATTTTATGCTTAAAATCATATAAATCGTGAGAAACATGAGACCTTTATTTTTTGGGGGGATCAATAGGGAGCATAGCCCAGCATACGCCCTCTAGGCCCTATCCTTGATTCACCACTGCCGATGATGGGCAATGGTCTGATTGGTTGTATCCAATTTGCACCATTACATTAAGGTGGTTCCATAAAATTGTGTGGTGATGTCATCATGTATTTTATCACAACAGCCAAGAGGCAAAGAAGGAAATCTGGAGAGATAAAAACTGACAAACAGAGAGCAGGTGAACCATGCACACATTAGTCTTTGATAGAATGGTTGGATATAGTAACAAATTGTTAAACGTTAATGGTAGCTTTCAATAAGTAAGGAGGGATCTTCCAGCAATTTGACATGCTTTCATGGTAAAACATGATAAAATTAAAATTCATGTAGTCCAATTTCATTTATTTTAATGGCATCATGGTGTAAATACAATTACATGTATATTGGTCTCACCTTTTTTGTCAAATTGGTTAATAAATCAGTGTTAAAGCAGCGGTTATAAGCTGACCAGTTCACATTTCTGTTTTGAGCAGATTATGTTTTGTATGAATCAAGCTTTTATTTACAGTAAAACATACACCTCTAATATATTCTTTGCATCACTAAGTTGACAAAAATTTAAATGTAAGAATAAGAAGATGTGGTATGATTGCCAATGAGACAACCTTTCTCCCGAGACAAAATGACGTAGAAATTAACATCTATAGGTCATCTTATGGCCTCATTACAGGAATATATGTTTTGCAGAATGGATGAATGTATGTTACATTTTTGAAATAAACATTAAGAATTGCCAAACTGCTTTGTGTTTAAGTTGATAAGGAAAGTTAACTTACAATGTTTATCATATAAATGTAGATAAGCTTCCAGGTGATGAAAATATTTCTCAATTAAGACCTACCATTTTACAACTAATTAATAATAGTAGTCTGCATTGGGAATGATAAATGGAAATTTAAAGGTTGTTTTTATGACACCTTTTTATGTGGTCATTTATGATCAGAAAAAGGTTATGCTATTGAACTACTGGTCATTTTATTTGAAAAATTTCAATAAAAGAAATCTGATTTAGTTTATTACAGAAATAGCAACAGCTGAAACACATGTAAGTTACTTTAAGTGTTTCAAGTAGTATGTTTATTTTTCAATATGATTTTTTTCTCTTTTCAATTTTTGCCCCCACCAAGCTGATTATTTACTTTTTATGATTTGAATTTTTTGATTTTTTTATGTATTTTCAATTTCTTGTTTAGGAGATAATACAAGATAATAAGTAAGATTGAGTGAATGATGAACCTTTTGATTAATGCAATATTTCCCATATTATGGTAAAAGTCTGTTTTTTTTGGAAAGGGGAAGTATTTGATGATTAGATATAATATAAGCGTGTGAATATAAGTAAAATGACTGGATTTAATTTAATTTTTTTTCCTTGAATACTGTAAAAACCAATATACATGTACTGGATAAGGTTCTGGACAGAACCCGTTTTGAGATAAATCTTGGTACATGTATTGTGACTACTAATCACTGCCTTGGGTACATGTATTCGATGATTATTGTGACTGCTAACCACTGCCTTGGGTACATGTATTAGATGATTATTGTGACTGCTAACCACTGCCTTGGGTACATGCATTCGATGATTATTGTGACTGCTAACCACTGCCTTGGTACATGCATTCGATGATTATTGTGACTGCTAACCACTGCCTTGGTACATGCATTCGATGATTATTGTGACTGCTAACCACTGCCTTGGGTACATGTATTAGATGATTATTGTGACTGCTAACCACTGCCTTGGTACATGTATTCGATGATTATTGTGACTGCTAACCACTGCCTTGGTACATGTATTCGATGATTATTGTGACTGCTAACCACTGCCTTGGGTACATGTATTAGATGATTATTGTGACTGCTAACCACTGCCTTGGGTACATGCATTCGATGATTATTGTGACTGCTAACCACTGCCTTGGGTACATGCATTCGATGATTATTGTGACTGCTAACCACTGCCTTGGTACATGCATTCGATGATTATTGTGACTGCTAACCACTGCCTTGGTACATGCATTCGATGATTATTGTGACTGCTAACCACTGCCTTGGGTACATGTATTCGATGATTATTGTGACTGCTAACCACTGCCTTGGTACATGCATTCGATGATTATTGTGACTGCTAACCACTGCCTTGTTACATGTATCCGATGATTATTGTGACTGCTAACCACTGCCTTTGTACATGTATTCGATGATTA